AATAATGTGGCCACTCAACCCACGACTGTTTGTGGGATGCTCACTGGCTGCATCATTTCGCCCACAAAATACACAGTCAATTCACTTTACAGTGTATCCTGTGAAGCGCTTTGAGACGTCTCGAAGACGTGATAAGGCGCTGTGTCAAACGCTGGGATTATTATTTATTATTTACACTTACAGCAGCTTGTGAAGCGAGAGGGGAGGTTATAATAATACATAATAATAATCCTCGCATTTGATACAGCGCCTTACCACGTCTTCGAGAACGTCTCAAAGCGCTTCACAGAATATATTGTAAAGTGTAGTGACTGTGTATATTATGGATGTTAGCGAGTAGACAAAGCTTTATTTAGAGGGGAGGCTTTCCAGCCAAACCCAACATGACACAGATCCAGATATCCATTTTAAAAAGGTCAGCACAATGACATACAAGTGTAACATAACAGACTCTTCAATTATAGCACAGAAAGGTCAGAGCGCTCTCTGGGTGTCTGTCTACGAGCAGCTGCAAACACACACACCGACACACGGAAGCTTACAGTGTGCAGACTTCAATCAGTCTCTAGTGAACTAAATCCCCCCAGTGCGCCCCTCAAGCTAACACAGGGACCAATGACACAGGGGATTCAAGCCTCTACGGTAGGATTAGGTGACAGATTGGCTCAGTTTGACTCCCTCATAAGTCTCTTGCTCTCCCACTGACCCGGCTCAGCCCACATCATCATCTCTGGCTCATAAACCTCACACTCGGGTCAGCCTGATTCAGTCACTCACACTTTCCCCTCGAAGGCCAAAGGCCGTGGCTTCAGGTCCCCAGGTCAAGACTGTCAACTCTTACAATCCTAACACTAACGCTCCACAGCCCCAATCCCAAACCCTATAATCCCCCAAATGGAGTCCTGTAGCTCAGTGGTTAGAGCACTCTCCTCGCAAGCGAGAGGACCCGGGTTTGATCCCCGGGCAGAGCAAAACATTGGGCAAGTTTCCTTGATCCACACACCTCTGTTTACCGGCAGTAAATAGGAACCCGGTTGTTAGTCGATTGGTGGATCATTTTTCCGGAGGGAATAAACCCTTCAAAAAAAATAATAATAATTTGTCACTCAATCCACGGCTGTTTGTGGGACGCTGCTGTGCGCAATTGGCTGCCGTGTTTCGCCCACAAAATATACAGTCAATTCACTTTACAGTATATTCTGTGAAGCGCTTTGAGACGTCTAGAAGACGTGATAAATGTAAGGATTGCTATTATTATTGCCTTGTTTTCATTATTAACTGGCGTTCTCTGTCTCACTCTCCATCCAGCAGAGAATAATCATAATAATAATAATCCTCGGATTTAATATAGCGCCTTATCACATCTTTGAGATGCCTCAAAGCACTTCCACAGAATATACTGCAAAGTAAATTGACTGTATATTTTGTACGCGAAATAGACTTGTCTCATGTAAACCATCCATCTCTCTCTGCTTCACTCATTTTATGGGACTGTACTAATAGGAGAGGGTCTTTAGGTGGAACAAGGCTAAAGGCCAGTAAATTAGGATCATGCCATCAGTTCCTTGTTAAATAACCGCCTGTTTACTCAAGAGCATTGAGTGATGTAGAGTGATACGACATGGAAACAGGTCATTTGTAGGAATTGGTCTGTGCCAGTGTTTACACTCCACATAGGAGCCCACCTCCCACACCCCTCGATTCCCCTCTCCCCACCCCTCGATCCCCTCTTCCTCATGTATGTATCAAGCGTCCTCTCCACTTTGTTTCGAGCTTCGTTGCTTTACAGAGACAGTGAGTGTTGAGAAGTGGGAGGCAGACAAAGTTTTGCTGCTGAGGTTATTAGAGCAAACAGCACAAGCCAGGGAGCAGGAGATTTAACAGGGAATTGGATCATCGAGAAGGTGAGCAGGTGATTAATAATAATCCTTGTATTTGATATAGCAACTTATCACCTCTTTGTGGGCCACATGCGGCAGCCAATTGCGCACAGTAGTGTCCCCAAACAGTTGTGGATTGAGTGACCAAATTATTACCATTTTTTTAAAGAGGTTATTACCCGTGGAAAAGCGATCCTCCAATCGACTAACAACCAGGTTCCTACTTAGTGCTGGTAAACAGGCGTGTGGAGTAAGGAGACTTGCCTAAAGTTTTGCCCTGCCTGGGAATTGAACCCGGGTCCTCTTCCTTGCGAAACGAGTGCTCTAACCTCCGACTGCGAGGTGAAAGCACTACCACTGACACACACACACACAGTGAATCCTGTGAAGTGCTTTGAGACAGGAAAGACACTAATGACACAGTGACCTCTGTTCACCTCCTCTTCCTCACTGTCTGCTACACCAGGGCTCAGAGGAAATAATTTACCTTAATTACACCGTAAACTTACATAGAAAACAGAGAGACAGAGCAGAGAGGGAGAGAGAGATATATAGAGAGCGAGACGAAGAGAGGGGGAGACAACAACAACAAGAGACAGAGAGAGGGAGGGAAAATAAAGAGAAACAGAAACAGAGACACCGTGAGATGGAGAGCGAGAGATGGGGGAGAGAATCGGAGACACAGAGGGAGACAAAGAAACAAGAAGAATGGATTATTATTATTAAAAGAGAGAAACTGACAGAGAGGGAGACACAGAGACAATGAGAGAGAGAGAAAAAGACAGACTAGAGAGTGGGGGGAGATAGAGAGAGAAGAGGGAGAGAAGAAAGAGAGGGGGAGACAGAGAGAGAGAGTGAAAGCAGAGAGAGAGACTAAAAAAATCAGTGAATGTTAAAATCGAGCCGAGTAAGCCTTTCTCTCTGACCTACAAAGTACACAGTGATCCCAGTGCAGGAGCAGAGAGATGGAGTCCTGCACTGTACATTAAAACAATCATTATACCGAGCCGGGCACACAGCCGGCATCTCTGACACAGCCATTAACTGGGTCTCCGAGGGAGGGAGGGAGAGAAAGAGATGACTTTTAAACCATTTGTTTTAAGGACAAATCTGCCTTCCCTCTCCTCTCCTTCCTTAAAAAGTTAAACAATTTATTAACCGGATGCAAGAGGTGAAATAATAATAATCCTTGCATTTGATGCAGCGCCTTATCATGTCTTCGAGACGTCTCCAAGCGCTTCCCGTGATACACTGTAAAGTAAACTACTGCATATTTTGTGGGCGAATGATGGGGGAATGGGATTAGAGAGCTCCAGTGGGGGAGCGAGCACCAGCACAGACATGATGCTGATCACAGATGCTTAGCCTGACCCTGGCAGAGGTTAGAGGGACGAGAGTTCAGTGTTAGTGTTGAGAGGATAACATAAAGTGGTGCTCACTCACTCGCTCGCCTCACAAACCCAGCCCTTTGCATGTGTAATTGAGTAAGTGGAGTGAAACACTGATTGGCGGATAAATAATTTATCCTCAAAAGCGGCAGGGCCTGGGTTTGTAGAGCTATTGACTGAACGCCTTTAATAAAATGTATAAATTGCAGTGATTTGTCTCGCGAGCCATTTAATCTTTGGAATCTAAATGAAACGACACTTGAGGAAATGTTAAAGGGCAAAGCGTGGCTGAGTGAGAGAGAGAGAGAGAGAGAGAGGTGGCTGGTGGCTGAGGCGGTCTGGTTCGGGGTCATTCCCACATTGAATTAGGGGACGGGGAAGTGGGGAGAAGGGTTACAGAGAGAGAGAGAGCAAAAGAAACGAGTGAGACACAAACATTTAATTTTACATTTCAGGACATTTTAAAGCAGATTCCATTGGGCCTATCATGTCAGCGCCTGACTCCCCGTTCAACCTCTCAGACACTTTCCCCACTTTCCAGCAGTTATAATAATAATATTAATAATATTAATAATCCTGGCATTTGATACAGCGCCTTCTCACATCTTCGAGCCGTCTCAAAGCACTTCACAGAATATACTGTAAAGTGAATTGACTGTGTATGTTGTGGGTGAAACACGGCAGCCAATTGTACACAACAGCGTCCCACAAACAGTGGATTGAGTGAGAGTTATATTTTTAAGGATTTGGGGGATTATTACCCCCAGAAAGCCATCTGCCAATTGACTAACAACCGGGTTCCTACTGACTGCTGGTAAACAGAGGTGGGTAGAGTAAGGAAACTTGCCCTAGGTTTCGCCCTGCCCGGGCATCGAACCCGGGTCCTCTCGCTTGTGAGGCAAGTGCTCTAACCACTGAGCTGCGGGAGTCTGTGTATTGATACAAGTTCTTGTAATGGAGGGACACTGGCTGATATTGATATGTGCCTTGATCACACGCTCCCGGCATACTGCGTCCTGACATCACACACAGTAAAGCTATGCTCAGTGAGAATTAAACCGCACAAAAGCAATTCCGTTATAATTACATAATTCAATCAAGTGGCTGCAATCACTTTAACACAATCTCTTGTACAACAGCCAAGGTTTCTGCATCTCCCATTTACTGAACAAAAAGAGCGAGTGTCAACTCGAGGACGGAGATTAAAAGGCTCCAACGCCGATAATAAATGGTTTGAACGTGACTTTGGAGTTTCGCAAATGACAGGCTCCGAATTCCTCTGGTTTTAGCCTCAAATCGGATTATCCCCCAGATTACAACAACAATTTACATTCATACGGCGTCTTTCATGTCGGGAGAACGGCCCGAGGCGCTGGGTTCAAACCTTACATTAAATAAATTGCCTCTCACTTCAGGGCTGCTTGTGGGGATGTGGCTGAGCGCAATTGGCTGGCAAATTCGCCAACAAAACACACAGTCACTACACTTTACTGTAAATCCTGTGAAGCCGTCCAGTCGATGTTCTGGTGTAACACATTGGGAATAACCCCCAGAGTCCGGGTGAGTTGCACCGTCAGAAGTTAAGTCGTGAAAACTGAGGTCCCGTCTGCCAGTTCAAGCAGACATCGAAGATCCCACACGTGGCACATACGTGAGTGAACACACGGCACGCACACGGGGAACGCACACGCAGTGTACACACACACACGTGACGCGCACACAGATGTCCTACCTTCTCTCGCTTGATCTTGACGGGCTCCTCTGCCGACACCAGGGCCTTGTAGTAGGAGCTCCTCTCAGCCGTGAAGTGCACCTTAGACAGAGCGTGTTCCACCAGGGCCACCGACAGGTTGACTCCCTCTATGTGCAGCCAACCAATGAAGTTCCCCGCCTTGTCCATGCTCTCCACCTCCACCTCCACCTGAAACGCAATCCGCAGCCACACGTTACCGCAGGCCCAGCCGCTCGCCAGCAATCCTACTGCCGTAAGCAATAACCTGCACTCATATCGTCATTTTGCCCACAAAATACACAGTCACTACACTTTACAGTGTATCCTGTGAAGCGCTTCGAGATGTCTCGAAGACATGATTAGGCGCTCTGTCATATGCGAGGATTATTATTATCCTAATAATATTAATAACCGGGGGGTCAGCCGGACTCAGTCGCTCGCACTCCCTCCCGCCTCCGAGTCAGGAGGTTGTGGGTTCGAGCCCCACATGTCGGGGATGTTGAGCTCACAGCCCAGGCGGACACCTCAGGGCATCGCACTGTCAGAGGTTAAGGTGTTCAGACATTAAACCGAGATCCTGACTGCTGCTTCAGGCAGACGCTAAAGCTCCCGCGGCACGACTCAAAAACAGAAGGGAGACAGAGAGAGAAACTCCCTTCTCTTCACAATTAGCCCCACAGGATCTTTAACATCGACCTGAACAGAGCCCAGACCCAGCGATAAAACCACCAGTGGCCGGGAACACTCAGCAGGTCAGGCAGCATCTATGGAGAGAGCAAAGAGGGCCAATGTTTCAGGTCGATGACCTTTCGTCAGACTAAGGGGATGTTGGAAGGAAGCAGTTTATAAGGACAGACAGAGAAGAAGGCGGGGAAAGAAAGACGAATGATTTGGAGGAACAGGATCTGATGAGATCAGAAGCGCGGACAGACACAGGGAGCTCTCTCACCCGAAGGCCGGCGTCTCCGACAACGCAGCTCCCCAACCCCCCGGCACTGCGCTGGAGTGTCTGTCACCTACACGTTACATTAAAATCCTGTGAAGGAGCTTTGAGAGATGTGATTAAGGCTCGGTATCAGAGGCGAGGATTATTATTACTATCACATTATTAGCAGCGGTGGAGTTGCTCTGAAGGTCGTGTCCGGGCAGATTACTGAAACTCATTTCCTCCTCCCTCTCCCCCGGTTTCTCCAGATCACCCCACAACACAAACACAAAAAATGACAGGGAAAAAAATGTTCCTTTTTTTGCTGGAGCGCAGAGCGCCACGGCAGCTGGTAATTATAGCTTCAGATTGCAGTTTATGGTGACACTTTTAATTATATTCTCCGAAGGGTCTTGTTAACTACACCACTTCTTTTTCTAAGAGGGTGAACTCTGGGCATTAATCAGATCTCTTTACAACATGAACCTTAAAATTAGAAAAAAACTCAATCCATTCCCCAATGAATTCTGGCACAGCGCAGACAGAGAGAGAGAGCGCGCGAGAGATAGAGAGACAGCTTTCAGCACAGTGAGAGAGACACTGGAGCTCCAGTGGGGGAGCGAGCCCCAGCGCTGACACGATGGGGAGAGAGAGAGAGAGAGAGCAGGGAATGGGGTTAGAGTAGAGAGCTCCAGTGGGGGAGCGAGCCCCAGCACAGACACCATGGGGAGAGAGAGAGAGCGAGAGCAGGGGATGGGGTTAGAGTAGAGAGCTCCAGTGGGGGAATGAATGTGCCCGAGTTGCGGACAGGAAGTTGGTGGCAATGCTGTCACACATTTCATGCTGAGCTGTGTTGCCCACCGGGAAGCTCGCAGGGACTTGCTGGTACCTCACATCCCTCTAATGAGGGTTCAAACCCACGCTCGTTGGATGTCAAATGACCCACTGTGGTAAAATACTGCATTGCTAACAAGTACTCTTGAAAGAAACACTGCCTTTTATATCAGAAGACAGATGCAAAGTGTGATGTTAAATCAGCTTTGAAATAACGCTACTTATCTGTGAAAAAACACCATTGATAAGGAGGTGTTAATGGAATTTCAGGCCCGAGTTCCTTTTAATAAACTGTTAAAATGTTCTGTCTTTTGAAGTTCAGTAATCAAAAATAGAAAAGGTTTCACACCGGAAAAGGCTTTCAAGTAATTATAATAGTCCTCAGATTTGATATAATAATCCTCGGATTTCATGCCTAATAATAATCCCTCAAGAAAAAAACAATAATAAATTGGTCATTTCAATCCACGACTGTTTGTGGGGACACTATTGTGCACAATTGGCTTCTGCGTTTCGCCCACAAAATACACAGTCACTTCACTTTACAGTATATTCTGTGAAGCGGTTTGAGACGTCTCGAAGACGTGATGAGGCACTGTATCAAATGCGAGGATTATTATTATTATTATAGCACCTTATCACACCGTTGAGACGTTTCAAAACGCTTCACAGAATATACTGTCAAATGTAGTGACTGTATATTTTGTGGGTGAAACGCGGCAGCCAATTGCGCACAGCGGCGTCCCCACAAACAGCCGTGGATCGAGTGAGCACTTTTTTTTCTCCGAGGGATTATTCACCAATCGACGGACAGACTGCCCGGGAACCAAACCAGTTTGAGGGACCTGTTTAGCAAAAGGAAATCACAATAACCACATGGAGTCCTGAGCTCAGTCGTTGGAGCATTCGCCTCTCAAGCGAGAGGACCTGGGTTTGATTCTCAGTCAGGACAAAACACCATCGATTGGTCACTCTATCCACGAGTGTTTGTGGGACGCTGCTGCGCACAATTGGCTTCTGCGTTTCGCCCACAAAATACACAGTCACTACACTTTACAGCGAATTGAGAGAGGTGCTGAGAGGAAATCATTGCTTTAACCTTTTGACCAGGTTGTGGGTTGAAGCCCCCACGAGCTGACATTGCAATGAGGCACTGGGGATGTGTTGTATTGTGGGAGGTGCCGTCTCGAAGACGCGAGTAGGCGCTATATCAAATGTAAGGATTATTAATATTATTGCTGTGAAATGTCACAGTCTCGTTCGAGGGGGAGAGCGTGCGCGCGCGTGGAGATAAACCAGCAAATGAGCGAGGAAACAAAGAAACAACCCAAAAACTGCAGCATGAAGGAAAATTCCCATCTTCTGGGAATACTGAGCTTATAATTATAATTCTGGGCTGTGTTCTATTCTGTCAGCACATCACGAACAAATGTCTCAAAGGCATATACTATTGAGTGCTTTATGGCTCCTACACAGTGTGTACGTGTATTGCACATACACACATAACAACAACAACTTGTCTCAGAGTGCTTGAGGGGGGCAAATCTTTGACTGCTCAGCGCCTTGGGACATCCTCCCGGCTTGAAAGGCCTTGTGTAAATGTCATTTGTTGTTGTTGTTGGTTATTGTCGTGTATGTTTGAGCAAGTGATGTGTGTATGGCGTGTGTGTGGTGTGTGTGTGTGTGTGTTTGGTGTGTATGTATGGTGTGTGTGTGTGTGTGTGTGTATGGTGTGTGTGTGGTGGGTGTATGTGCCCTCAGTGCCAGTGTGGCAAACCGCAGGATCTGCCCTCAGCCCCAGGACACCGAACCACACTGCTGGCACCAGATCCACAGCTAACGATTTGGAAATATTAGTGCTAAGCATTAACACGCCAGCTATCTATCCCACAGGAGCAGTTAATGCAGTATTAGACTGCTGAACAGCCAAAACATGGCGTTAATGGATGGTATCAGCGAGACTAAGCT